CAATGCTAATAGCATACATTTTCACAGCAGCCTAAACCAACCGGGCGAAATTCATGCAAACAAGGCGAATTTTGATATAAACACGGCGGATTTCATGGAAAGTAGGATAATTTGTACATAAAACCGGACCATATTTCGTCCGGTGAACCAAAAACCTATAAATAAAACCCTAAACTATCCTATACCTCACGGTGACCTGGTAGCCAATGCCGGGCTGGCCGGCTCCTCCGCCGCCGCCATCGTCGCCCAACCCGCCGTCGGAGTCGGGTTTGGGGCAGCGGTAGGTGGTGGCGCCGCGGCAGGGCTTCCCGGCGGGCGCATGACGCTCGCGGATGATCCTCTCTGCATCCTCTTGCATCGTGCACAGTGCGGCAGCAGCCGCCTGACGCTCGCGGATGATCCTCTCTGCCTCCTCTTGCGTAGTGGCACATGATCTAAGCAAACATTCTAGTATGGTTGCCATAAACCACACAAACTCAGCGCCAAATATCTAACAAAAATACCATGGTGACTTGTTTCGAAGAATGACAAAACAGAAAGCTGAAAATGAATGCACAATGTTTGTTAACATTCTTCAAAATGAGACAAGTAACGCTAAGTTATACTGATATAGAAGATATTAACATATATCACTACTGCTTTTCTTTTGCATATGAAGCTATGCGATTTTAAATTTTCGCAGGAGGGCCAAACCAAATACCGAGGCCTGAGTTCCTGAGTTTGTATGTCCTTTCATTTTTGTGCTTGCAAATTGATGTGTGCTTCAGTTTTGTATATTAAAATGATTGATTAGTTCGCTTAATTTGCTTGGTTGAAGGGCAGCTATCAAATGGCAGCTGCATAGCATCCTATGCGTTGAACTAAAAACATGTTGCATTGAGTTATTTTTGGATCAATTACAACATACATACTAATCATGGTTTTGTTTGTGTGATTGATCCAGCTTGTTGATCAATAACCCTATTTGTCTTTCCTCATGCTAGCCTAGGAATCATGGCATGAATCTCCGAGGGTGCAATGGTGGGCACTCATGGTTGTGAACCCACCAACTCCTTGTACTCATTCATTAAAGTAAAGTTGACTGCAAGTTTGTACCTTACGAAGCAGTCTTCCAACAAGGAAAAACCTGTCAATAATGAGGATCAATATTTATCATCTTGAAGACCAAGTTTGCTTTGATGGTCATTAAGATCTAGCAAGGTTGAGCTCAGAACATAGATCATGGAAGATTATCGGTTAATCACCCAGAGGATAATTAACCATGCTACTGCAGAGCTGCTAGACCTGCAATATAGATAGTACAAGATTATAGATCAACTAGTGAACAAAAGAAGTACCATCCACTGTGTTATATATAGATCCACAAGTGCAGAACAGTGAGATCGAATAGAACATATACCTGGATACGGTGTGTGTTAGCACAAACTGTTTCCTCTCTCCACCGGATCACTCGTTGGATCCTGCTTGAATAATTGATCAGTGGACCAAGACGAAAGGAATGTACAAACGTGACCAAGACAAAACTTCCTCTGCAAGGAGTAGATGCATACGGCGATTAACGAGTGAATTGCAAAAAAACACCACATTTGGGGCTTCATCTGCGAAAAACCACCAAGTCGCTAATCATTTACAAAAATCACCGCGCATTCAGTAAACCTTTTGCAAAAAGCACTGATCAAGTGAATTAGCACGTTTAACCACTTTCTGACAAATGGGGCCGGAATGTAAGGAGCGGATTTGGCAAAAAATTGACATATACCTCCCTGGATCTTAAAAAAAGCAATCAAGCCCCTGCCCTCCCCCCACGAAGGGCATCTCCTTCCTCGCTCCACCCTCGCCGGGAATGGTCGTGGCGCTGCGCGCCTGTACGAGCTCATAACCAGCGTGTACAGGGGAGCTTGTTCCCGGCGGTTGCGGCTAATGGCCGGCGGCGGATCCGGCTTCGGCCAGCGTCGTGGAGAGAGAGAGGGGGAGCTGCGTGAGAGACAGGGGGGAATGAGAGGGAGAGGGGGCTGCGGTGGTGCCCAGTGAACTGGCGGCAGCGAGCTGCGGGGAAGTCCGGTCGGAGCGGCGAAAGGCTCGGTGGCGCGTGCGCACGGGGCTGCGGGGCTCTCCTGCGGGCGTGGACGCTCCGCTGCGGCTGCGCGAGCAAGGGCGGAGTGGGGTGTAGGAGGAGGGGAGGAGGCGCCGAAGCGCATGGAGGTTGGCCCGCATCCACGGCGTCGAGCGGCGCTGGGCTTCCCTGGTAGAAAACCGAGGCACGGCCACAGCATCCCGGCGGGCGCCGCCGTGGCTTGAAGGCCGAGCTCCTGGCGGCCGCCTCCGCGGAGTCCACGCCGTGGACGCTGCACAGGAGCTACGGCTCCCCGACGACGACAGTGCGCTGCTGGCCCTCGTGGCTGCGGAGATGGCCGCCGGCCGGTGTGCCCACCCGCTGCTACACAGACTCATCCTCGTCTCTGCGACCGCCCGGTAGGCGGGCGTCTTCTGGCGGCAGCGACGGGAGCCGGGCTCTGCCTAGCATGGTCCAGGGGGCTGATTGCTTTTTTTTAAATCTACTAGGGGTCTGTGTGTGGTTATTTTGCCAAGTTAGCTCCTTACAGTCCGGCCCCACATGTCAAAAAGTGATTAAATGGGCTAAATCACCTGTTCAGTGCTTTTTGCAAAAGGTTTACTGAATGCATGGTGATTTTTGCAAATGATTAGCGACCTGATGGTTTTGCGCAGATGAGGCCCCAAATGTGATGATTTTTTAAAATTCACTCGGCGATTAACCGGAGAGAATAGAAGGACCAAATGAAATCTTCGGATCCTCTTGATTTTTTTTCTCTAAGCTTTACCAACCCAATTAGTAGTGTACTGGAGAGGCGGAGACAAGCAAGAGCAAGAGCAAATGAAGCCTGGTTGGATACCCATACAACACTAGGTGCTAAAGCCGCCCCCCTCCTCTGCTTGGGTAAAGAAATGCAGGCTATGGCTGGGCGTGCAGAAAATTCAACAAAGGCAGTGAGCTGTGATGGCGTGCCGAGTCTTCTGAGAGAGACTACAAGCTGCTTAGTGCCATTGCTGTGCGGTAGTTTACTGCCCACTGACATTAATTTACTGGCAGCATTCATCACTGTCCAGTCCTGATGGGAATATCTAATTACAAGCTTATTAATTGGAAAGAATAGAACGAAAATAACCTTAATATTATCAGCTTGATTTCGTTATGCCTTCCCGAAGCCCATTGGCAGGCTATTGGAGACAAGCAACGGAGGAAATGAAGCACTGGTGGGATACCCAGAAGCAAACACTAGGTGCTAAAGCTGTCCCCCTCCTCTGCTCGCGTAAAAAAAATGCAGGCTAAAAGAGACAGCATATGCAACAAAGTGGTGAGCTGGGATGGTGTGCAGAGTCTTCTGAAAGAGACTGCCAAGCTGCTTATTTTCATTGCTGTGTAATTTAAGCCAAGTAGCACTTAGAGTAATCCTAATGGGAGTATCTAATTGCACTGTAATCCTCATCCAGATATAGATACTACTGCGTATCATGTTATCTTTTCTTGCACACATAAATAGTCTTCAGCCAGATCTGGCATCGAATTAAGAGTAGCGATGGCGCTCGGAGAAGATTATAAATGATGAGGTAACAGAGAATTTGAGATTGTTGTGCAGTGGAGCACGAATTTCGGCGACACGTCCTGGCCCTCTGATTACCTCCAGAGACGGAGAAGGAACAGAAGGAGGGGAACAGAGAGGCTGCTCGTCCTGGCCCTCTGATTACCTCCAGCGACGGTGTGCGAGTAAGAGGAGACGACGGCGACGGCGACGGCGATGGCGTGCGGGCAGTGGGAGTCGGAGCCCAGCAGCCATCCCGCCTCCTCTCGGCCGCGAGCACGCCGACGCCCAGCCGCCAGCCCGTCGCCTCGAATGAAGGCTATTGGAGACAAGCTATTAATAGAGGAAATGAAGCACTGGTGGGATACCCATAATCAACCACTAGATGCTAAAGCTGTCTCCCTCCTGTGCTCGCGTACAAAAATGCAGGCTAAAAGAGACAGCATATGCAAAAAAGGTGGTGAACTGAGAAGTCTGGGATGATGTGCAGTGTCTTGTGAAAGAGACTGCCAATCTGCTTATTTACATTGTTGTGTAATTTAAGCCAAGTAGCACTTAGAGTAGTCCTAATGGGGGTAACTAATTGCATTGTTGTACTCCCTCCGTCCGAAAAAGCTTGTTCCTCAAATGGATG